ATCTTTTGTAATCCTGAAAAGTGTATTACTTTGTCATGTTTAATTGTTTTATTTAATATCATTACAATAGGTGTAAAATATATATTTGTGTTTTGATAAATGTTTATGTTATGCACAAATTATTTAGCGTGACGTAATATTATATATTTATAAAAAAATATTACCTATTTGTAGCGATAAATCTTAAACGGTACCCAAAAATTTATCGGTACATATCAATTACCACTATTTGGGAGGAAGGGAAGAGGAAGATGTGTGGTGGGAAGAGGAAGAGGTGTAAGAGAATGAAGTTTTAAATTTTGAAATCGAAATCAGAGAGAGAGAGAGAGAAGATGTATGCGTGAATTGATTCAATCGTGCGGGTGAGAATCTAAAAGCTAAGATATTCAATCATGAGAGAGAGAAGATATCTATGTAAAACTGATCTGAAGCATTGATATTCACCCAAACAATCTGAACCATTGAAATGTCCAAGTAGGACAAACGAGAGTAAAACATTTTCAACTATTGGATTGAATCAATCTAATGGTGCACATTTTGACAGATAAACAAAAGTCCTGTCAGGATTCAAAAACCCCATTCCCTTGTTATATATGTTACATAGATAATACGTGGAGTCCCAAAACCCTACGCAATCCCAGCCACCCCGCTGAACCTTTGGACATTTTCTCCAAAGGGTCTCGATCGCAGTCAAATTCTCTATATCTTGCTCTCATCTGGAATCCTCCAGGACGGATCTGCCATTCTCTACAACAAATTCGGTGAGCCGCCTCTTAAAAGATTGTTTTTTTGTTTTTGTTTTAGTATTCCTTTTGATCCGCACCGATCTTCTTCTTCTTTTTTTTTTTTCGTATATATATATATATATATATATATTTGGTTTTTAGCATAAATGTTCTGCTGTCTAATATTTTCTTAAATTTTCTTGAGGTTTTTTGCGAACTGTGAGAGTTTTTACATATTAGCTTTCGTAGGTGTTACACCCAAGTTTTGAATACCATAGCAGCCGTTAGGTACCGTTTTGGAGAGAAATCGGTATAAAACCGTCTAATTTCGTCTCTGCTAAGTTCTCAAATAGTGCTGGCCGGTACCAAACATGCAGGTCGGTACTAAACCGTATTTTTGAATATCGGGTTTCGACTCTTTTTTTGTTTCTTTCAATTACCTATTACAACATATGTTTTTGTAAAAAACTTATAATTTAAGGCTTCTTTGCTATTTCTTTTTATCTTTTGTTATCCTGAAAAATGTATTACTTTATGGGTGTGTTTGTTTTGACGAACTAGATAAGGGGATTATAATCCATCGAACTTGAATTATGGGACCGTGAATCCCTGGACTATTTTGTTGGATTAGATGTGTATCCTATGTTTGTTTTCTCATGGGATTAGATGTTTGGAAATGATTATTTTTAGTCAATCAAATGTTTGGTTGGACGGATAAATGTTCCAACGATTATTTTACCCTTTAAATCATAATTTATAATTTTTATTTTAAATCTATAATTTATAATTTAACAACACTAAATATTTTTAATTTTTAATTTAACAACAATAAAAATTTATAATTTATAATTTATAATTTACAAATGTTCAAACTACTATTTTACCATTTTTTAATTATTTTCTAAGTAATAGTAATACTAAATCTGAGAGTAAAATTGACATTTCATAAATTAGTATCTCATGGTTTGTATCCCACCCCTCCTCCAAGACACCTTCTAATCCCGCCCATAAAATTTCAACCAAACAATGGATTTCTCTATGCAATGGATATGGAGTCCAATCCCACCCTCTAATCCCTCCAAACAAACACCCCCTATCATGTTTAATTGTTTTATCTAATATCATTACAATAGGTGGAAAGTATATATTTGTGTTTTGATAAATGTTTTATATTATGCCCAAATTATTTAGCGTGACGTAATATTATATATTTATAAAAAATATTACCTATTTGCAGCGATAAATCTTAAATGGTACCCAAAAATTTATCGATACATATCAATTACCAAAACGGTACATTTAGCGATACGGTACTGAGAACTTTAGTTACACCTTTTCCATCCAATTTAGTTTGTTTGGTGGAGTTATTTTTTGAGAAATAATAAGAAATGACTGTTTCTCTTGAGAACTCTTTCTAATTGGGATTATTAGACTCAAGTCAATAACTACATCCATTTTTAAAGTAAAAATTTTCTTCTAAAAGTCTTCTGTTAGAAACTTATTTACATATTGGAAAAAATATGAATTAAAATGACAAATTTGCCTCCACTAACCACCGGACAACACACCACTTTACCGAGCTACAGAGGTTCCTTGTGTATGCAAGGGTGGCCATGGCAAAGGAGGAGAATAAACACAAAATCTATGGGAGCCAAAAAGTGGGTTGAAAATCTATTATTATGTTTGTCGTGAGAGAAATATAGGAATTGTAGAGACAGAAAGTTGGTTTTCCAACTTTCACAGAGATTAACAAAAACAAGATATCCGACAAGGGAAGGATGTTGGTGGTTTCGTCAACGGCAATGTAGCTTTGTCCACAACGATGTTGTCTACAGTGGCGTAATTACAAATTTGATTCAGTAGTGTCATTTAGTTAGTTATTACTGATATAATTATTTTCATATCAATTGAGCAGAGACGGAAAAAACATAAAATGAGTCTTCATGTGAGGAAAAAAAATTGTAAACATTTAAGAATCGCATGCCTAAAAAAAGTAATAGCTCTTAACTAAGTTCTACTTTTTAAAAAAGAATTAACTATATACAAATATTTTTTTTTTTATATGGAATGATGTGACCCTTTGTTATTTTTCAATTAAAACACCTATTACTGTTCTCATAATATCATTGACACACCGTTTTAGATGTGTTTTTTGTGTAAATTTTCTGTTTGTAAATCATTTTGACACCATCATGTTTAATTTTTAACAATTTTAATGGTGTCAGTTACGAAAACCTCTCAAAAAATTTACATATTGTGGTGTATTCTATATAAAAAAAAAAAAATTCAAAGTTTAGTGGTTGAATTGAACCCACTAAACAGTACTTAGCTCTGCCCATGGTTGTCTGTGGTGATTGCAGACCAAGACATCGATTGTCACCACAGGTATTGTAGGCAAACGAGACCAAGACGACGAGTTGCAACGGGTGTTGTTGGGTTCTTCGGTGGTTACCATAGGACAAAAATGTCATTTTGATTTATTTTTTATCAATCTATAAATAAATTTCTAACTGATAATTTTAGAATTAAATTTTAACTTTGATGGATTTACTTATAAATAATTTATCATTTATTGAGTCCAATAATTCCTTCTAAATTTGGTAAGAAATGATGAGAAATCATGAAACTCTTTTATTTTTTACTATTTCATTTCTCATCAAAATGGCGAGATTGAGTGTGAAAGAAGCTAATTGGTTATAAAATTTTTATAATACCGAGTTTTCCATTTAAATATAAAGGAGGAAAAAAAATCTCACGCATATCCTTTTGCCACATGCTTTGCTTTCTTACACATCCAAAGATGATGATGAGAAAACACAATCTTTGGTTATCATTTTTCAAAAACATTTCTTAGAAAATTCTACTTTCTTATTTTTCATATTTTTTTATTTTTACTGATTTTTTTTAATATTTTGAACAATTTTTTTAATTTTTAGACATACCTAACATAAATATACCTTAAAAGTAAAAAAAAAAATTGAAAAAAACATTTTAAAAATTCACTAAATACCAAAAATATAAAAAAAAAATGAAAATTCAGTACATTTTTTGTATTTTTATGTATTTATTAATTTTTAAAAATATTTTTTTACAAATTTTTTATTTTTTAGATACATCTAAGTAAGGTGCATCTAAAAACATAAAAAATGTTTAAAATTTTAAAAATTTAAAAATATTCACTAAAAACAAAAAAAAAATACGAAAACCAAAAAACTTATTTTTTAAAAAATTTAATTCAAAAAACTCAAACTAAACACACTGATTATTTTTTTTCTCTCTCACCCCACGATTCAAATCGAGAGAAACCTAATCCCTATAATATAAATTTGCCTTGGTTGTATATTGCATAGGCTTGTCAGGAGCTGAGCTGAGCCCTACAAAATCTAAAAGCGTATATATGTAGATCATAATTTATTTATTTTGTATGTATGCATGTTATGATTGAAGGTCGCCCTTCTCAATGACATGGGAGAAGATGGAGGTACTTTTATCCTTTAGTTACTTAAAACAATTGTAAGTTTTTTAAATTGTTTTTAAGTCCTTGGCCCTGTTTGATTACATTTTACCTCAAAAAATATAAACATAATTTTTATGATTTGAAGTAAAATGCAAAACTAACAGCAGTTTTTAGAAGCACCCGATAATATATAATAAAATTGTATAAGCTCGACCTATTGTTCTAGGATGCTTGATCTATCTCTCTAAACTTTTTATACTCTCTTCGTCTCAAAATATTAGTCCCTTATTCCATTTTTCATTGTCCCAAAATATTAGTCCCTCTTCAAAAATCAAGTACAAAAATAATATAAATTTCCAATTTTACCCTTCTTTTAAATTAATAAACAACATAAAAAGTACAATTATACATTGATATTCCTAAAAAATGTACTATCAAAAGGATAATTTTGGAAAATCAATTTTTTTCAAATGCAATAATTATACTACCAAAAAAAGTTGGATTCCCCAAAAGGGACCATTATTTTGGGACGGAGGGAGTATACATATTGTAAGCTGAGCACAAGGATCCGTATAATTCGTAATTTGATTCGATCCAGTCCAATTCGATATGTTTAGATTAGTTTCTTAAATCCGTGATTTGATTTTGGATTAAAAATTTTAAAATGTATAGACCACAGATCGGTTTCAGATTAAACTCCACGATTCCTGATTAGAACCGATTCAGACAATATAAAAATAGTATATATCTATACTATATACCCTCCACATAATATAATTTTTTGTCTCATATAAAAGCTAAAGTCTAACCTAATTCATTCACGCCACACGGAGCTCTTTCTCATCTCAAGACCGAGTTTTCTCTCTCGGTACTGTCTCTCACCCTCTCATTCATCTCAGATCAGATCGGTGAGCTGCTTCTCTCTCTCTTTCTCTCTCTCTGACACTGTTTTTGTTCCTTTGTTCTCAGACGCAGTCATCTCAGATCATCCATCTCATCTCAGATCAGATCGGTAGCTGTAAGTAAGAGTGTTTATTTTTATTTTTTTCTGTTTTTATCTTAAATGTGTGTATATTTTTTCCTGAAACAGTGCTTTATGTATATAAGGAGAGAAACAGTGTATCTTAAATGGGTATGTGTATATTATATGATTTCTGTTTTCATTTTTTTCTTTGGTTTCCGTGGTGTGGATAAATTTTTTTTCTTTGATTTCTGGTATGATTTCTGTGGTATGGAGAGAAACAGCGTGAGAGGGTAATTTTTGGGAAAAATTGGGCCGAACTGCGAGTTGGGCTTTGAGGCCCAAAACGCGAAGGACTAAGTAAAAAGGCCGTAAAGGATACTCCGGCCCAGGAGAGCAAGGTTATTCCGGCCTTGGGGAGACAAAGTTACTCCGGCCCAAGGAGGTGAATTTTTTCTTTGATTTCTGGTATGATTTCTGTGGTATGGAGAGAAACAGCGTATATTTTTTCTTTGATTTCTGGTATGATTGGTCTCTCATAATATTAATCCTATTTTTTTTATGTATTTCTTTTTCTTGTTTGATAGATGTCAAGTATTGGAGAGACAAATGATGTCGTCGACCTCTCTCATTCTCAGCCTGCAACTCCTTCTGGTTCAAAGGTATGCCCCCCCCTTCTAAAACCAGTTTATCTCTGTTTGTTTGCTTAGAATTTGTGGAAAGGGAAATGTCTACTACTGCTGAATTTGTTTGTTGTTGTCTGTTTGTTTGCTTGGAATTTTGTTACATAAGATGACATTTTGGAGAATTGATGATACTGTTTTAATGGGTTTTTGTTAGTTTATATGTTGCTGTTTTTGTTGATCAGTTCACACATGATGCTGTTTGCTTTTGTTTGCTTTAAATGTTCTATATTTTTTTTGTTATTTAATTATGTGAATCGGTGGTCCTAAACCGATCCAATCCGTGTTTAAACCGATTGGTTTGAATTGGTTCCACGATTTAAATGGATTGAATTGGTTCTAATTTCTCAAGAACCGTAGATAATGGATTGGTCCTTGTTTTACCCCAATCCGGTCCAATTTGGACCATGCTCACTCCTAGCAAATTGTTATGTGCATGACACTTGAATCATTTTTATTTTTTAAAAATAAGTGGGTTTGGGAAGGGTTGTGATGTGGTACAATTTCTAGAGAGAGAGAGAGAGAGGAGAGACTGTCGTGCAGTGGCATAAAGAAGAAAATTAGAGGAAAAAATAAGGGTAATTTTGACTTTTTCAAAAAATCATTAAAGGATTTAAGCTGAGCACTTTAATCCAATCCACAATGGAGTTGTGTACATTTAAAATCTCAAGGGGTAAGTGTTTAAGGAACAATCCACGAGAGGATAAATTGTAATTAACTCTAATAAAATTTACCCATATGAAGTTGTTCAAGTTTGGATTGATATAATGTTACTAGAATTCGAGCTTGTTTGGTGCAACTTCTAGCAAGCTAAAAGTTGATAATTAGAAGCAGAAACTTAAAACACCTCAATAATTAGTTTTTTTTCCATTTTATTTAATTTATTTTGCCTAAAATATTGTAAGCAGAAGTTACATCAAACACTGGCACAAATTTCCAAATCAAAAAAGCTATAAGTTGCTCTAAAAGTTGCACCAAATAGCCCCTTTATACACCATTACCATGCTTTAAGTTGTTAGAGCAAATTATGTAAAAAAAAAAGTAACAAATTTGTGTAGTTATTGCTAACTGGTGTTAAATTGTAATTTTTTCTTTTCTTTTTGAAACTGTTGTTAGTGTGGTTGGACAAGCATCTGCCTAAAGGACCTAATTAGTAACTTGCCCGATGGAATTCTCGTTTCCATTTTGTCTCGGTTGGAAATTGAACAAGCAGCAAGAACTAGTGCCCTATCTCGCAGATGGAGATATTTGTGGACATTCACTAGTAGTTTGATATTCAAATTTTGCGATTGGCAGCTAGTGGATCATGAAGATAAGTTATTTGGTCTCAAATGCAGGCAATTTGTTGATCGGGTTAATCATATCTTGAAGTTTCATCGTGGTACGATTATTGATGAATTCAGCATTCAATTTTGTTTGGATGATAAAATCTTTGAAAGTGATATTGATGGCTGGATCAACTTTGCCTTTCAAAAGAGAGTTAGAAGGCTCAAGTTCAACTTTAGATGTACCTGGACAAATGGGAATTGGAATTACCCTCTTACTGCTCATATTCTTCATTATCACAGACTTGATTCCCTAACAAGCCTCTATCTGTGTCATGTAGATGTGACAAGGGAAGTTTTGGAATACATTTTGTTTGTTTGCCCATTGCTCGAAGAGTTATCTATATTGCATTCACGATCTTTGGTAAATTTTGCAGTTTCTGGGCCTTCATTCAAGCTAAAGTACTTAGAGATCGGAGGTTGCTTCTGTTTGAGAAGTGTTGATATTTATGATGCAAATCTAATGTCGTTTAAATACAGCGGACTAAAGACCGACATTGCCTTTAAAAACACACCGCATCTTGTTAAGGCATCTTTTGATGGGCCTTATGCTCGCTATATTGTTAAGAACTTTATACAGGTTTCAAGCCATCTCCTTCAACTAGAGACACTTGTATTGAACTTGAGTAGGGGACTTAAGGTTAGCATGTGATTTCCATGTGTTTGTAGGTTTCTCATTTATTTTTTTCTTTTATCATCTTTTTGTTTTGGGAGGGGGGGGTCTAAATAATGTTAAGCTTATTAATATTTGTTGTCTTCACTTTTGGTTAAATTTTCTAGAAGTTGAGATGCTTCCCTAGATTTCCCAAGTTAAGGAATCTCAGGCAGTTGGAATTGATGCTCAATCCTGGTGTCTCTGGGCTCCTTTGTGCATACCTGCTAAGGGTGTCTCCTTTATTGAGGATACTTAAAATTGAGGTGAATATGCTTACTTTACACCTATAGAAAATAGGTACACATTCAATGCTTCTGTTTTTTCTTCCTAATTTGCCTATATCATCAACAATGTATATGATTGAACTGTGATTGAAGAACTATAGGCACCATCTTTGGATCTCATTAGAAATAGATCTTTGTGGAGGTAAATCTTCTCTTGTTACTCTCTCCTTCGATATATATATATACATATGTATACACAAAGGAATATTCAGTGAAATTTCATTGAATTTTAGTCACCAAAATTTTACTGTCTGAGGATAGCAAACTGTGAAAATTTTGACAATTTTTTTCTTTAGAATTTCATATTCATTATAGGTCTTGTTTTATATTTTTATGAAAAACAAAGATATAGATAAAAAGTTAATAAAATTTTTAGGGAAAATTACAAAAAAAAAAAACCTAGGGTTTGGCGTGTTTTTCACATTAAACCCCAACATTTTAATTTTAACAATTTAAACCCTGAATTTTTAACTGTGTCCCAATGTTGACCCTCCGTCGGTTGCCGTTTGTTTCTCTTAACTTTTTACACTTATTTGATACGTGTCACTTTTTGATTCATCCATAATTATTATAATTATTTTATTCCAAAATTATTCCAACACTTTCTCTCTTCTCTTCTCACCTTGTCTTCTCAACCACTAAGAGTCCTATAAGGGCATTTTTGTCCAAAAAATATAGCATACTATAGGGAGTTGTTAGGGGATATGTAATTTCTCAAAAATAGCTTAGAGATATGAATCTATGTAATTTAAATCTATCAAGGGTGGCACCCTGCCATCCCCTTTTCAATCCATCCTTGGTATGTTGCCCATGTTGGTTGTATACGGGCATTGGGAGGGGGAGGGTTTGGAAGCGGTCCTAGTTCACCCAAAAAATACCCACTCTAATCCGAGTTTTCACTTTGCCCCTAGTTGGCATTACAATAAATTAAGATTTTGGAGACAAATTTTGGGATGAAATCACAATTTAGGACAAAATATATCGTTATATTTTTAGCGATGAAATTGGACATTGAATAATGAATTACTATCTTTTTGGGACAATTTTGGTCTAATCTTTGCACAAAAATATTGTTTTGCATTTATTAGTGACATTTTCAAAAATTTGTTGCTAAATTTGTTAATTTTTTTTTTTTTTTGGACTTTTTGGAATGGTGTTTTCATGATGACCACATAACAGCTGAAATTGGTCTTTCATGTTTTTTGCTGCAGGATTTTTATTTTTGGAGATGAAAAAATTTGATTCCTAAAACCCTTGGGAATTGCTATTATACATTTGGGTGTGTGCAGACCAGACCCATGCTTGACTTGAGCATATGTTGTTTGGAACTTTATTTGGATTGTATTTTCTCTTTTGCAGTTTCGGGACTTCAAGGACTCCACAAAAGAAACGAAGATACGAAGGTCTAAACATCTACATAAAAGCCTCAAGGTGCTTGAATTGAATGGATTTGTTGGATGCAAAGCTGATCTGCAGATTGCCTCATACATACTCGGCAGTACTGTATCACTTCAGGAGATAATCATTGATCCCAGCTGTCCAAATAAATGGGCACCTGAAGATCCTGACAAGCAACAACTGGCTAGAACTCGTGCGAGGCACTTGGAAACAAGATTACCTTTTGGGACACAATTGGTGTTGAGATAACGATTTATGAACTTCTTGGCTCGTATCTACTTGATACTGGGTCTTCAAGGATACAGGTTTTTATTTTATTTTTTGGGGCACAATCTGCTAGTAGTGAGAAAACTAATATTAGTTATTAAGAATATTATTTAAATCGGTGTTCAATCTTAACTTTGAATTTGAGATGAAGGTTGTTTACAAAATTGGTGTGGTGTTATTATTATTATTTGGCTGGGGGATTATTTGATTTTTCTTTTATTGCGTTTCTGTATAATTATTTTCCACCTCGTGGCAAGACATTCGCCTGCAAATTTAGCAAAAATATTGGTACCGCAATGCTAATACAAGCAACTGATCACTGCTTGTCTTGGAAGTACCTTATGGTGCTCCATTTTCAATGAAGCTTGGGGCATTATCCAGTGTTTCTAACATTTATCATGTATGCAGTTGGCAAATGGGTGGGTTTAGTTATAAAAGAATTTAATAAAATTCACCGTCAAGTTAACATGCGTACATAGTAAAATTTCATTTATTATGTAAATGTTAGTTTGGACAGTGAAATTTCGTTATCAACATCTCTAATCCCTGTAATAATCACAACACTTCTCATTTTTTATATCAAATTTATTATGATTTTAAATATAAAAAGCAAATAAACATGACTCAAAATTAATATAAAAATTCGACTTGCTCAAAAAATCATGAAATTGATTCTAAATGTTTATAAATATAAAACATTTTTTAAAAAAAAAAAATTCAATTCCATTGCTTCGATAAAAAAATATAAAATTCTCCATACAATGTAATTGTACTCTTATTTTATTACAAAAGGGAATTTGGAAAAACTTTTCTGCAGGAGTAAAATAGGACACACACACACTCCCTTGATCTATATTAAGGATTATGGAGATTATATGACTTTGTGTGATGTCCAAAGATCCTCACAAGAAAATTAATAAGGGACCACATTAACATTGACGATGGTGAGGGGTAAGAATTACATTGGACGTCTACATTATCTCTTTACCTCTTTTTCTCACTCTAAATCAATGTAGATCTATATAGAAAGAGGTAGTTTAAATGTTGATTTTGTGTCCATGTTGCAACAAAAATCTTTTATGAAGACACTTGTATATTAAAAACAATTTAGTTGTCCTTTTACCACTAAAAATTATATTGAAGGATTTGTGGTTAAAGTAAATACTTTTTTGTGGTTTTTCTTATAAATTGATGACCTGTAAAATAGGTTAACTAATAGGTAAACATATCAAAATAATAAATAATATTATATAACCACAAACATTCATAACACAACTCACTAAAATGCATAACCTCGAAAGAAAAAAAGCATAACCTACAACTAAAATGAGTAACCTCTCCACAAAAATTTATTTCGTTGCCACAAAAATACGTAATTTAACCACAAATTGCATAACAAAAATCATAAAAATTATGGAAACTATAAAATGTTGTAATGTAACCACAAAGTTACATAACGTCACCCACAAAAGTGCATAACTTAACTACAAATTGTTGTAGCGAAAAATATAAAAATTTTAAGAACTACAAAAATGTCATAATCTATCTACAAAGTTATGCAACGTCATTCAAAAAAATGAATAACCCAACCACAAATTAGTGTAATGAGATCTATAAGACTTTTGGTAACCACAAAATGTCGTAACCTAACTACGAACTTATGTAACATCAGCCATAAAAATGTGTAATCTAATCACAAATTGGCATAAAGAAAAACATAAAAATTATGAGAACCACAAATTGTTGTAACCTAACCACAAAATTACATAACCTCACCCACAAAAATGTGTAACCTAACCATAAATTGGTCTAACGAAAACTATAAAACTTTTGACAACCACAAAATATTGTAACGTAACCACAAAGTTACATAATGTTACCCACAAAAACGCATAACCTAACCATAAATTGACATAACAAAAACTATAAAGCTTTTGGCAATCACAAAATGTCGTAACCTAACCACCTATGAAGCACATGGATACGGCAATTTCCAAAAAATCGGGACACGAATACGACTGGAGACGCAGCGAATTTTTTTTTATTATATATTTTTATGTGTTATGTAGATTCATATTACATTCATCCTAAATCAAAATTAACAAACACTAACATAGTAATATTAATTCAATAAATATAACCACTATATTTAAACAAATTAATAGATCATTCATTCACAAAAAAGTCATAATAAACGATAACAAGAACTGAAACGAGAAGGGAAAAACATTCAACGTCCAACAATATTGTTCACAAAAGCACTAAATGAGAGAGGCAAAAGAAAAAAAAGAAAAAAGAGTGAGCCCCGCCATGTCCCATGCTGTGTCCGGATATGGACACGCGTGTCCCCTACAAAGAAATCATTAAATTAAAGGGGCATGTCATCTAGTGTGTCCCGTAAGTGTCCTCGGCATGTCCGCGTTTTGGACACCGCCACGGCACCAATTCTGGAGTGTCCATGCTTCATAGCTAACCACAAAGATACATAACGTCAGCCACAAAAATGCATAACTTAGCTACATATTGACTTAACAAAAAGTAGGGTTGGGCTTAACTTGTGATTTGAGAGAGCTGACACTAGCTTCCAAGTTAGTAAATTATTGATTTGAATTTTTTTTCATTTTCTATCGCTTGTAAAGGGACATCTGTTTATGTTTCTCTTTTTTCCATTTGTTACTATGTTTTTGCATGATATAGTGCTTTTGGTCCGTGGTACTTTTAGGTTTTTGCTGACTATAATATTCCCCTTTTGTAGCCGTAGGATTAGATGAAAACTATCTGTAAATTTGATATCAATATCATATAACATTCTATGTTTTTTAATTGGTCCATTTGAGAACCATTTCTAATTTTGAGACCACTAGACTATAATATTGTTTGTTTTAGTGTTTTTCTTTAGGTCACTTGTGAAATTATATGAGCTTAATGCAAAATGAATAGTGTTTAAATAATTGTAATGGACATTCTTAGTTGTTCTCTAAGGTTTAAGGCCCCATAAGATCACATTGTGAGCTCTTTCAATCCTTAGTTGCATTTGGTTGGGCCAAAGTTTCAGCCTACCTTCCACTGAATATAAAAACTTTATAAAAAACGAATTCCTGATCAAAATGGAATGAAATGTTATATGAATTAAAACTTTGACAAATTTCACTTTACCCCCGTATGGTTTAGGCTACGTGCAGATTGCCTTTGTATCATTTGAAAATAACTACATAACCCTCATATAATTTATAGACTAAAACATTGAACATGTAAATTGACCTTTATAACCTTGTCTTCTTTCTTTCTTTCTTTCTTTTATTCTTTTAATAAACCTGTATATATATATATATATATTCTTTCTTCTTCTTCAATTGCTGTCAAACTATAAAAAGCCTTCGTTTGGAATATTTTTTTGGTTTTTTAGCTTGTGGGAGCCGAATAAATAGAAGAGTCGGAGGATGCGCGCTCCGGAAATTAGATACTATCCGGCTTCATATTGCGTGACTAGGACGCCGAATACGTGAGTAAAGCCGAATAGATGGAGATCAGTAGCTCCGAATGAAAGAAAGGACAATGATCAAAAAGTAGGCCCTGGCCCCAAGGATCAAAAAGAACAGGTATAAATACAGGAACAACGGTTATAGAAAGGTATGCAAGAATCACTTCACAGAAACTTAGTAAATAAGCTATCCTGAGTGTCTGAACTAACTTGTCCGTCGGAGTGCTAATTCCGGTACCCCCGACCGGAGTGCTTGTATCTTTTCAGGTGACTAGCTGAGGATCACCAACGTTTTGCCAGGGTCCGAAGAGTATTTCCAAACCACTTCCCCACAACTGCCGCCGTCTGTAGGAATACTCAAACACATCCATGGCAGGCGTGACTGAAGATCCTCCGCTAGCCACTGACGAGACCGCACAGAGAGTTAACCCCATTCCATCAAACTCGCTTGGACCAAAAACCATCGCAGCAGGACTTGCCTCAGACCTCTGCTCATCTTCAAACCCAACGCAAACGACAATACAAGCGACCATGGCACAAGCTAGGCAAACCCAACAGAGGTTGGTCAACATCATCGCTGAGAACGAACGCCTTCGTCGCGATCTAGCCTCGAAAATAGCAAAATCCAAACAAACGGTGCCCAAGGCTTCTGAGCGACCCCTGAGGGCAGATCATCTCGAGGAGTTGGCAAAGGACGAACGTCTCCACCAATGCGTTCGGAGGAGTATGGTCGAAACACCTGCCCGTCCGAAAGATGCATCTCCGCTTGATACCGTCCACATGATATACAGCTTTCCAGTGGCCCCGGCTGTGCATGCGAGCCAATCACATCTAGGCCCCCAACAGCAACTCATGCCAGCAAAGCGGCCCCGAAAAATGCCAAGTATCACCTTCGACGATTCTGACTTGATCGGTGTAACACTCCCCCATATCGATCCGTTAGTTGTTGAGCTGCACGTAAACCGGTTCATCGTCGAACGCGTTCTTATCGACCAGGGCAGTACCTCAGAGGTTATGTATTATAAAACCTTCACGAAACTCGGATTCAACGAGTCAGACCTGACTCCGTCTCCTTATCCACTATTCGGCTTCAATGCCACTCCAGAGTACCCATTGGAAAAAATTAGCTTACCCGTTCGAGCAGGTTCCAAAACAGTGGACGTGGAATTCTTGGTCGTCAGGCTGCTATCGTCGTACAATCTCATCATGGGGCGATCGTGGTTGCATACCTTGCAGGCCGTCCTAAGCACCTATCATCAACTGCTACGTTTCCCAACAGAACACGGCATTGAGCAAATCCGTGGATCCCAGAAATCGGCACAAGCATGTTATCTCATTGCCGCCAGAACGCCAAAGGAACTGGAAGTAAACTCCATTGAGGTGCCGAATTGGGAGATCCTAGACGATGTTGGGCAGTATCCAAATGAGAAGGCCACGGAAGATTTGGACCGAGTTGACATTGATGGCAGCCCAGAAAAGTTCTTCGTGATCGGCCTCTCTCTGAATCAGGCCGACAGACAGCAGCTGATCTCTTTCTTGCACAACAACCTTGACGTCTTTGCGTGGACTCCGTATGAAATGCCGGGAATAGATCCGTCAGTTTCACAGCACCATTTGAATGTCGATCCGAAATGTAAGCCGATCATTCAGAAAGGCCGACGGTCAACCGCGGAGCACACTGCCACCGTTGTTGAGGAGGTAGACAGACTGCTTGACGCCAGGGCAATTAGAGA